ATCACATTTAATTTTGTGACTCAATAGTCAACTCAGTCCAACACAGAGAACCAAATGCAACCCTTCCCTCAGTTTATAAAACAATCGTGCATCTCTTCCATCAGTGCTCACACATAGCCAAAACTGTTTCAGAGATTAGGCCCACCCACTCATTGTACATTTTCCCAGGATTAAAATCTTTGTTGCGTTGAATTGCAGAGCTCAAACAAGTCACTGAGGTTTGCCTAAGCCAACACGTGGAGAGCTTTTTGACAGCAAGTGGGTAAATTGGGCTCTTGAGAACAGTCTGTTTCTGTAGCTCAGAGACTGAGTCAAATATACCTTTAAGGCTCTTTCCTCTGACCCCTGTGGCCTCCACTCAGTGCTGATTACTCAAGCAATAAGGAAGTTAAGCTCTGAGGTTTCTTTCTAGATCATGAGTGAAAACAAATCAAACTTGTGGTGTCAGGAATTCTGCACCTTGTTACCTAAACTAGGTACTGCAGGACAATAACGTTAATCCAGATATTAACTACCATCCCATCTGAGAAAGGGACATCATAGCCATCTGAGTGTAAGGGCTTCTGTGTAGGATGGGCCTCTCTTGCAGAATCACAAAGCTCATTGGCGCATTGAAAACTTCTGAGAGTTTCTGCAATGACGAAACTTGATATTCTCAGTGTACCCTAAACATGCCTGAGAATAGAACCATTTTATTTCATGGGCAATCTTTGAACATCTCAAAGCAGTGATACAGCAAGCATTTACTGCATTAACAGGAAGTTACTCCTTCTAGTCACAAAGTCTGCTATATACTAGACACCTAACAGAGTTTTGAAAATCAAATAAGAGCATGAGTAAATGAACTATTATAAAGTGAAAATGTATATATTTATATGCACAGACTTGATAAATGATTTTTTCCTACAGAAACACACTTAACATCACCCAATCCATGTTTATTGAGCTTCTGCTGTTTGAGAGGCCCTCCCTAGGTCATGGGGACCTCTGAATCTTAAATGACGAGTAAGAGTTAGCCATGCAAAGAGGTGGCTCCAAAACTATATATGACATGCATGTATACAGAAGTTCTTACATGTGCTGCATTTAAGCAATTATTAACACATATTAATAATTAATACAATTATTAAAATATAAATATAGATACACATACATATTTTATGTTTTGAAGACAAAACCTAGTATCAAAAATGTTTTTGTTCAATGAGAGAACATTTTAGTATGTTCTAATCTTTAATTCCCTCCTGAGAGCTTTACAATTTACAAGTCCTTTTGAAATGGGTTTAAGAATAGTCTCAATATGTCAGGTTGGCAAGTAGAGGCAGATTTGAGGAGCCTCAATCACAAAGGTCTCTCGTGTCTCGAAATTACATCAAGGAGAACATGAATCATGAACAGAAATAGGAAATGTGGCATTTAATATTTAAGTTATAAGTTAGTTAAAAATGTAATTTTTGTCAAGGTCTGCACATCCTCATTACAGGAATTCTATTGAACTGCCACTCCACCTTTCTCACAACCAAAAGAATAGCCCCCTACCTATAGATTTCATCTCCCTAAACTGATGAAAACTCCATCATCTCTCTTTTCTTCCTATCTAAGCTGTAAGTCTAACCAGGGATGAAAAAGCTCTTTATAAATGAGAACCTAAAAGTTTGACTTTTATATATATAAAACTCTAACCCTGTAGTTGTTTCTCAACCTATACTGGGGATGTCATTCCCTCTCTATTCAGTCCACAAATTTGTATTGGGTTTCTTAGTACGCAGCGACACACTGTGTGCTAAGACCAGATGATGTGATACCAATACAGTCTTGCACTGTTCCTTCCCCCACTGAGCTCATCCTCTGAGAAGAGACACAGATATTAACAAGGAGCCACAGAGATGAAAATGAAAAATAGCCCTGAGGTGCTGTATGCAATGATGGTGTAGAGGAATGAACCTACCTGCTCACAGCAGTTGCAGGAGGCACGCCTGAGGAAGTGGTGGTTGAGCTGGGGCTAAAAGGCAGGACAGGAGTCAACTAGACAGGTGATTGTAGGAAGGAGGTGAGGCTGGGAAGAGCCTTTGGAAGTGCTCCCAGCACAGGAGGGGCATGGCTTACTGGAGAAACTGAAAGAATTCCTTGAAGACAGGAATATTTTAATTTGAAATCAGCAAAGGCTGGCATGTAATAGCACTCAAAAACTGTCTGTTGAATGAACGCCTGAACTTGGTAGACAGTGCCAAATTTCTTTCTTGGCACTCTCTGGCGACAGAAGCATCAGCCCATGCCCAGAGCAAAAGGAAGTGTAGCCCTCAGACCCCAAAGCTTTTCCTGCAACAAAGCTCCAAGAAGACCCCAAATGCTCCTAAAAGGTGATTCGTTACTTGAGTGCATCCTTCTTTCCCTGTTCTTTCATGTATTCATTTGCTTATTTACCACATTTTATGGAGCAACTGGCCATGCTAGTCACCAGGGAGGATTCAAAAGTGATGACCATATATCCGCAGCCTCAAAAACCTTTTAGTCCACCAGGATTTTATCAAGTGCACTGATATTCAGAACACAAGGCAGCAGAGTCTGAGCTAATGGCAGAGATAAAAATTAAATATTAAGAGAGTGAGAGATCCCTTTAAATTGAGGTATTTGGAGAAGGAAACCATAGTCATATCATGCCTTGAATGAAAGGTATGGAAGAATTTGACATGTAGATATAGGGTGCAGGGAGAAGGGAAAAGCCATTTCAGGTTGAAAGAAAATGTGAACAAAGATAAAGGAAAAGGTCAAAGTGTGTACAAGAGGGAACAAAACGATCTACTTTAATAGGACCACAACACAGTAGGATTGAGCCCTGCAAGAGAGGATGTAAATAATTATCACCTTGAAGGCATTCTTGAAGATGGAATGCTTTTATCTTGTTGACAAATGATATGAAGTTAAACCTTTGTCTTCACAGTTAGACTTTAGAAGGATAGTTTTGACAAAATATGTGGAGAATCCACTGAATGAAATAGAAATGGGGAAAAGAGAAGTGGTTAGGAGGTGTTTTCAACTGTTCAGGTAAGAGCCATGGAAGGACTTAACCAGGGTGAGCTGAAGTGGAGTGACATGGCAGAGGTGGAATCAAATAGTTGCAGTGACTAGCTGGTTATAGGGCATTATCAATGAGCTGAAAATAGCGTTTGCGCAGCTGGGAAGAGGAAATGCCATCCAGTAACTGAGGAAGTGAAACAGGAGGCAGATTTGGAAGATAATGAAAGTTGTCAAGTGCCTGGAAGAACAATGCCAGCTTATTATATGCACACTTGAACCAAATTATATTTCTTAACATAATTGTTTATGTGGGACTGTGGGATGTTCCAATCCAAAACTCCATAAAGTAGTTACATTTACAATATTATTAGCACCATATTCAAAATATCTGCATGTACCATGAACAAATCTAAACACCTTCTTCTAGTATTTCTCCCAGGTGTATTATTCTATGATCCACCTTCAAATTTACTTTCTATAAAGTCCAAATACTTTGTTAAATACAGCCCGCATCTTAATTAAATGTGTTAATTCTATTTAAAGGATCAGAGATCAAAATCACACCCACCACTTTCAGTAAACTTAATTAAAACCAGACATCTGCCAACATGTACATATGATACTAAAAGAAAATTTTAATAAGAAAATACAAATATTTGAATTGACAGTGTCATAGAAATTATACTTCATCTGAGGGGAACAATGTGAGATATGAAGTAGAGCAATGCTTCTTGAACTTCAATGTAAGTCATCCGAGGATATCATTAGATTTCTGGGCCCAGCCTGAGATGTTGATGCAGTGGGTCTGAGGAAGGCCCATGAATCTGTATTTCCAACCAATTCCCAGGTGATGCTGACGCTGACAGGATGACTTATTGAGTAGCGGTAGTTAACGGGGTAAGTGTGACATCCGAATCGCTGGACTTACATTCCACCACCACAATTCACTAGCTTTACAATCTCATATTACCAAATCTTTTTAAGCCTCAGATTTCTCACCTATAAAATGGCAATAAAAGTGGAACTCATTGTGATTGGTATGAGAACTAAACTAGCTGATCTGTAAAATGTGCTTCTGGCAGTACAAGACACATGGTACATGCCCAAAAATTAGGTGTCACAGTATTTAATGGTACACAGTAAGTAAAGAGATTCTTAAGAATCAAGAATCATTAGACTATAGTCTGCAGTCCAAATCTGGCTCATTGTTTTGGTAATGCTAGTGAACTAAGATAGTTTTAATTTTTTAATGTTTGGAAAATATCAAAATATTTTGCAACATATGAAAAATATATAGAAAATTCAAATTGCAGTGTCCACAAATAATGTACTATTGGAAAGCAGCCACACACATTCACTGACATATTGCCTATGGATGATTTGGGCTACAAGGGCAGAGTTGAGCAGTCACGTGACAGAGCACATACTAGCCGGCAAAGCTTGTGGCATGTACTACGTGGCTTTTTATATTGAGCTTACCAACCTCCAATATAGTACCACGTGACTTAATCCATGTATTATTGGGATTAGAATCATCAGCATTTCTGGTCTACCGCCAGTAACGTTCAGAGGCTATAGTCTCTTTTTATAATATAACTGTACTGAGGGAATGAAGGATTCTTAGGAACCAAATAATAGAACTGGGAAATAAAATGAATTTGAGGGATAAGTGAAAAAATTGAATCATTACCATCAAAGCTCCTCAAACCAGGAATGCTATTAGATGCCCCAACCCACTTTTTAAAAAAGCAGTATTTATTTCCTTTTCCAGATAGAAAAGCAATACATGATTATAGTATTTGGAAAATACAAAAATGTATACAGAATATAAACTGGTCATATTCTCAATAGTAGAGTCAACCACATTTAAACAAGTTTTTACAAAATTGGGATGTTACTGTACAAATGGTTATATATATATATATTAACATTAACATTTCTCCAACATCCTCATATTCTCCGAGAAGTTAAATGGGTAATGATGTTCCATTGTTCAGAAATGCCCTAATTCATTTTATTGCCCTCATTAGACTTTAAATTATAAATTTCAATTTTTGATAATAAAATAAGCTTATGATCTTTCTGAATATCTGTGGTAATAAAACAACTTATGTCTTAAGTTTGGGCTGCTCCCAAGATGAAAAGATTATAGAGACATGGGTTATGTTCATTGCAACAGCAGTCTCTCTCTCCCAATTTCCCCTTATTTCCAAACCACACCAATTTGGGGGATTTTCTACCTTATGACTTAGTAATGTTAAATGACTTCTATCTTTGACCAACCATGTTGTGTTTATTCTGTTTTTTCTATAGACCCCATTCTTAAACCCATACCACTATCATCAGGAAAACAAAGTTGTTTTGTTTGAAGTTCCCCCTTCCCTTGGAAAAAAAGGCAATAATCTTATCAAAAATATTTTATTTACAAAAAAATCAATTATACTATACATCCTATACTGGAAATACATTGAATAATTGCTAAAATAAATACAGGCAATTAATTCAATCTCTTATAAGAATGAGAGAATTTGACATTTGAATGTTATCAAAGCTTAACTTAAAACATAAATAGTTAAAAAGGCAAACTCAAGTTTTAGTCTCATTTATTGGCATGGTGTTTTGTTTCCCACAAGCTCTCCAATCAGGGATTCTGAGTTGCAGAACGTGGGGTACTTTCTGTACTCCCAAGGTAGAATGTGCAGCTTCTTCTTAGGCAGGATAGATGGACCACAGATGGCTGCATGAAAAGGAAGCAGAAAGGCGGAAGCACATGGTCGAACACTCCTTCACGTCTCTGCCTCATCACAATACTTGTTATGCAACTTATTCATGTGTTTGTATTTGAACACAGGTCTGCACAGCACCAGCTACAACGCAAGATGGGTCTTGTCAAGTCACACTGCGTAAGTGAGGCCCTGGAGTAGCTAAATTAGCTGGATTCACGGTAACTGGTTCATCAGTTTTCTTATGTGCCAAATTTTATTATTAAACCTTGATATCATTTCTAATATGTAAACATTTATGTAGGCCAAGAAAAGGAGAGATGAAGCAATTATATAATTCAGAAAAAGATCCTCCCTAGAAAGCAAAACAGGACGCTTGGAGCGTGAATGTACTAATTTTGAATCCATATACTTCATACTTATTATTTATCCAACTCACCCGTGTAAACCTCACGCTAACATGTAAAATGTACTGGCAAGCAGAAAAAAGACAGGTAAATATGTTCAATATATAGACAGGATCCCATTAATTCAGGCCATAGATCAAAATGATGAATTGCATTATACTTGTCCAGATTAAACAGATATTTTTCCATTTTCCATTTTACTGGGAAAACACAGCCAGAATCCCCAAAGATTATTCATCTTTGATATTCATGTTTTGTCCAGTGCTGGAGGCCTAGTGTTTTCCTTAGAGCACTATTATTCCCTTTTCTTTAAAATCTTATGAAAAAATTGCACTTTTCTACCCCTTTGGCCTTGATCTTCAATGATTTTCTTTTTTGTATACAGTATGTTATTTCTCCTCCCAAAGTATGACAGGTATTTTGGCCTTCTCTAAAAGAAATGCTTAGTTAAAATATCGAAAGTTTAAATACTTTTTTCACAGAAATAAACTATTCAATTTTTAAAAGGTAGAGAAAGACACACACTTTTTATTCTTTCTATCATGAACAACATCAGTCAACCAAGCTTCACATTTTGGGGTTTTTTTTAAGTATGAATTTTTTCAAAACCTATTTTATTAAAAAAAAAGGGAGAACAGGTGTATTTTGGCAGAAGTAAAATATAGAGTATGTAAAATTTGCTTTAAAAATTGGCATACAAAACTTTAAAACAGTACAATTATATAAAAATACAGCATAGCCAATGGCCTCTAAAATTTCCTTTGGCATTTCATTTGGTAGAGTTAAAAAGAGAGAATCTTTTCTTTAAAAAAAAAAAAATAGCTATCAGCACAGTCCATAAGTTAGGTTGTCTATGTTGAAAGAACTTTTCCTTGAGTTTCCAAAATCCTTTTCTTCCATGATAACCCACATAAAGCATGGCTAGTGAGGTATATAGGGCAAAACACTGTTAGGCAGATGTACAGTAAGGAAAAAGTGCATAACAAAGAATTCTTCCCATTTTCCTAGATATAACAGACTAAATCTGAGTTTCTTCTTGTTGATGTATCATTTACTTTGGCGGAATCAAAATAAACCCATAGAAATCTCTTTGTTCAAGTCCCAGCAGCAGTGATATGTCTCCTTTGGTGGCATTATCGGATGCCACAATACTGTACAGTCCCCAGAGGAACCAAGCTTTCATGTGTGACTGCAAACGTCAAGTGAACGTCTGATCATACATCAAGCACCATGTCATACTGTTGTCCCTTCTTCCGCCTGCCACATTTATTGATGAGAACCACATACAGCGTCAAAAGCATGACCCAATAGCATGCATAGAGCAACGTTCCAACAATTAGAACTGTCTGTTTGGATTCTGAGAATGGCCCTTTAGATTCCTTATAAATGGTGAAAATCACACCACCCAGGAGGATTGTAAACCAAACTGATACTGGAATGAGTCCTATGAAATTAACAACAATGGTTTTCCTTCCGGATGTGCCCCACCCAGCTTTGTTTATCGTTGCGATTGCAAACATTTTGGCGGGAAGTAAACTTGACATGTACAACACCGAGTAGAGGGACATGAACACCATGACGATGTTTCCTCTGAGGCAGCTGGCAAAAGATGACTTTATAAGACCTACTAACTGGACAGTTAACAAGAAGAGGAGGATGTTCCAAATTTTACCCCTGTAGAACAGCTGGATTACTGTGGCAATGAGGAAAAAAGGGAAGAAGCCAGTGATGACTGCTTCATAGGTCATCCACAAGTGATGTTTATGAAACCACATCGCATTGTACAGCCACTCTCGGAAGTAGGACTTGCTCCAGCGCGTCTGCTGGTTTAGCCATCTGAGATACTCTATAGGTGTTTCAGTAAGGCACTTGGATCGAGCTGTGTATTTTGTTGCATAGCCCAGACTCAGCACTCGGTTCGTTAGATGCCGGTCATCACCGAAACTACATTGGCTGCCCATAAATTCCTGATTGTACCAGTCTTCCACAAATTCATGCAGCAAGGAATTTCTGTACATTCCCAGAGGTCCACTAATGCACTGGACGCACCCAAAGTAAGACTGGCAGGCCCTTTCTATGTTAAAAGCCATCCAGTATCTCACACTGCTGAGGAAGGAGATCCAAGAATCGTACTTGTTTAAAATCTGCAAAAAGGAGAAAAAGAAGTAAAAGGTAAGCCTTAGCTAAAAATACCAACAAAATGTGCACCATTATCAGATTACTACCTAGAGTGAGGTTAACTTACCCTATTTTAGCCTCCTTCTTTTTGACGTGGTTATATTTTATTTTCTCTGATTCTCCATTACTAGATTAATTTTGATAAGTTGTGTTCATGCGCTGGGACTCCTTAATGATAAGCATTTTTTCTACTCCATTATTCTGTCCTCTTTTTGCCTCTTTGTGTTCTTGCTCTTGTTATAATACTGAGATTTTTTTTTTTAGGCTTTAGTTTTCACCCTCTAAATTCTTCTCCCACTCTTTTCTACCATCAGAGATTTGAAGGCTTTTGTGTTCATTGCAGCACTATTTACAAAAGCCAAGATATGGAAGCAAGCTAAGTGTCCATCAGTAGGTGAATGGATAAAGAAGATGTGGTACATACACTCAGTGGAATATTATTCAGCCATAGAAAGAAAACAGATTCTACCATTTGCAACAACATGGATGGAGCTAGAGGGTATTATGCTCAGTGAAATAAGCCAGGTGGAGAAAGACAAGTACCAAATGATTTCCCTCACTTGTGGAGTATAACAACAAAGCAAAAGTGAAGGAACAAAACAGCAGCAGAGGCACAGAACCCAAGAAAGGACTAGCAGTTACCAAAGGGGAGAGGTAGGGGAGGGTGGGTGGGAAGAAGGAGAAGTGGACTAAGGGGCATTGTAATTAGCAATCCCAATATAGGTAGGTCATGGGGAAGGCAGTACAGCATGGAGAAGACGAGTAATGACTCTATAGCATCTTACTACACTGACAGTTACTGCAATGGAGGGTGGGGAGGACTTGATAATATGGGTAAATGTTGAAACCACAGTGTTGCTCATGTGAAACCTTCATAGTAAGATTGTGTGTCAATGATACCTTAATTTTAAAAAAAAGATTTGAAGGTATTTAAGCCCTAGTCTCTCCTGCTCTGGTTAATTTCCAACTCATCCAATTCATTAATTTTCCTTCTCCATCCTTCCACCTTTCATGCAGCACCAGTGATAAAGGATTTGCTCAGGACTCCCTACAAAACTTAAATCCTGAAGTAATGCTCTATGTAAAGGCTATTGAAAATGATCAGCTTCTTCTTGGCAACATTTCCAAATTCTCTGCTCTTAGTTTTTGTTCAATTTTCATTTGAATTTTGCATGCTTCCTTTTTATCACCAGGCTATTTCTTTGTCTGTTCTAGTACATTTTCTTTGTCTTCAGTCACCTTTTCACATATGAAATGGGCTATACATCAACAGAATACCTAAATTTTAAAGCCAAATTTCCATGTTTCTCACTCTTTCCTGAAACCTAATCTCTCATTTGCAAAGGATTCATTTTCATGTTCACATACACTGCATTTTATGTTCACATAAATTTCCCCCATCCTGAAAATTTCAAGTTGCCTTCATTAATATTTTTTCTTCACTGATTGTTTCTCCATTTAGAGCAAATAATGGGAAGTGATAATTGTGGGAAATAAGTAATAAATGCAAAACCCACTTATTAATAATTCCTTTGCCTTTCTCACTTCCTTTGTTTTCTCATTTAGATCTTTGATCAACCATGTATCGGTCACTTTCAAAAACATACATTTTAAGATATAGAAACCATCCTCTGCCATACTTCATTTTTTAACCCTTGCAACTAAATGAACTCCAACATCAGATATTACCAGAACATTAAATTATGGCTGAAGAAGATAAGATGGAACTCATTACAAACTCACATGTATTACATATAAATTATTGGCCACCACAGAAATGGGTTACACCCCAGGATTAAGCAAAGAAATCCTAACATTTCAATTCAAACAAGAGAAGAGCAGTAAAGTGGTTCCAAGGTATATCCTATTGTGTCTCCAGCACCAGAAACGATACCTGGCAGAGAGTTTGGTGTGTGGTACTTATGTGTCCAATGGATCAAGGAGTAAGAGTGCTACTAAAAGTGACTCATGCAAAAAAAGTGAAGCCATATGCACCTGGACATCTCCCCCAACACCACCAACCATGGGGTCTTCTTCTAAAACCTTTACCATCTCCACAGATGAGGCAGGGTCAAGCATGGTGTCTGAATCACAAACCTGCCAAAAAAGCAGAAAAAGAGTTAGAGAGAAGGTGGAACTATGAGTGGACTCCATACAGTCAAAACTGGGCATACAGTGTGTCTTCAGCCTTAGATCACAAGTCCTCAATAGGCAGATATCACAGGAATAACAGAGTTTGTTATAGCATGACCAATACAAAGAGCTTGTTTTTTAGCACACTCAATATTCAAGTTAATGACATTGCTGGATAGAACAGATAAAGTCATGTGCTACGTATGTCTTGTGGGGTGACCACCTTGTCCCGTTTTCCCAATTTTATCAATGAAAGTCTTATGTCCCAGTGAACATTCTAGTTTTCCAGGACCTTGAAAACATCTTGGGTTGGTCACCCTACATGTCTGTTTTTTTTTTTCCAGTTGCCTTAAATAAGACTTTTGGGCAACTTGTCCTTATAATCTGAATGGTGATTGGAAAATCCCGTAACAATATTGAAGGGAGACATGGCTAAGTGACTTTCCCCCCTAGTTTAATATATTGAATAAAAGGAAAGCAATTCTCCTGCAGCTGGTTGTAGACACCGTTATGAGTTGGGCTTCACAGATGGCCGTGCATCAGGAAGGGGAGTAGCATGACCTTTAGACCACCTTTTTATTCTAGAGTATTAAATATTCATCTTACCTTGTGTCTATAAAAGTAGATGTAAATTATCTTAACCCGTGCTAGAAATGTAAATTGTTGTTCATAAAAACAATCTTTCTATGAATCAAAAAAGCAATTCTGAAACCAAACCAACTACAACTTTAAGAAAATTATTGAAATTATTCTAGCCATTGAGCCCCTGACATTTAAATTAGAGGCCCAAGGAGACAGGGTTATAAATGGTACTTTTCTTTCTAGTCTGACTTATGAGCCAACTGGAAAATGAAACAAAAAAAAAGTATGGGAGATAAGAAACCAGAATATCACCTGTAAACTCAGAAAGCTGATATAGAGGAAGGATAGGGCTTTTATCTGTGGAGTAAGCGCACTTCATGCACTTCATTACTATGTTCCCCAGTATTAGAGCATCTAGGTGGGGCCAGCCTCCTCCTGCAGATACGGTGCATGACCTTTCTAAAGGCATGAATGATACCTGCTCCTAGGTGGTAGCCTGCTCCCAGAAAGGGGAAGAGGGAGTGGGGCCTACCCCTTACTCCTTCAGTACTCACCCATCTAATTCTCTTCTCTTACAGAGGAAGGAGTAAAGCATGTGGAAAAAGGCTACTACTTACTCCACAGATGGGTTACACCTGTGGATAGAGCCTCTTCCATATGATCAAAGAATATCAGGAGGAAAAATGCTGCCACCTCTCTAGCCCTGATTAATACTGGTAAGACATAGTGCTCTTTTCTGGGGGATGTAGTAAGGCCAGGACAGGTATAATTAGATCAGCGCTGATATGTAATCGACCAGTTTCACATCCCATCCAGACAATAAGTGAGATGATTGGCAGAGACTGGCTGTTACCTGCAATCCCAATTATTTTGTCATTGAATCTGGCTATACTGTATGGATTTGATCAGGATTTAGCCTATTTAGTCACATTTATTTATTTATATCAAAAGTAATTATTTTAACAGTTCTCCAAACTATAAAAATAGGGATTTGATATGCTAGATTTGAACGGAAAAGCAAAACAAAACTAAGAAGATATTTTGTAGAACCATAAACTCTCAGAGTTGAAGGGGACTTTATATACATGTGTATATAGAGCTTGAATCCTTCATATAATTAGCTAAGGAATCTCAACATTTTGAAAATGCATCTGTTAATTTTACTACTATCTTTTTCTGATGAAAGTATTAATATATTTTAATTTTAACAAAGAATGTTAGCAAAAACAGCAATTTAAATGCATTACTGGAACTTACAGAGTACATGGGGTACCCAGTTACAAAGTGATCACCTCTCTGGATTTATTTAATTACTACAGTGTGATAAAATTAACATTACAGCAACTTTAGTACTAATGTATGAATTTTTGTTTTAATTTACTTACATACAAGCATCTATTTTCAAAATAGGCACCCATTTATTGTTTTTGTTTTGTGTTATTTTATGGTATCTTATTTTGGTCCAGCACAGCCTCACTTCAGAGAAAAAAATTTAGGCAGTAGCTCCACGTTAGTTTTTCACTGTAGGAAACAGGATTTTACTAATATCTGAATTTGTACCTAAGCATTCCAAGCCCCAGAAGCCTAAATGAATTCCTTCAAAAGCAATGTTTTGCCTCTCCCATGCTTGTTTATTGTTGGTTTGTATATGGCTACAAACCGGGCGGGCCTGTAAGAAGGGTGGAGAAAGGTGAGCGGGAGTTAAGCCGCCTTTAGAGCCTTTAGAACCGTATCCTGAGCTCATGGCCACACCCACCTCTATTGATTCAAGCTGGGAGAGGTAAAACCAGAAAGCTAAAATAAGCCTAAAGACAACAGGAAGGGGGCAATCTAGAATTAATGTGCAAGTAACTCCGCCTGCTTGTGAGCATAAAGCAAGCCAAGGGAACTGCCTCTTTGAAATGACTAAACCTGAACCAAACTTATGAGGTTCTGAATATTTAAACTGGTCTTGTTCCTCCCAGTTTCCAACAGTTAAGCGCCAGAAATTATCCAAGTGTGTTCCCATAGTGAGTCTAGCTGTCAGAGGGAAAGCTCTCAGAAATCTCTTGGGTAGGAGTTTGTTATCCGTTTGATTCAAAGCTTTAAGGAAGTGCAGTTTCTGGATGTTGTATTTGGTGATAGAATGCCAACCAGAAAGCCACTGACATCTGTCAAAGCATGCGTGTTCATGAACCTAATAGCATTTACTTATTGGTGTGTGGAGAGTGTAACATTAGCCCCTCTTAAAATCTGGACAGTAGGAATAGGATTTCTAGCTGTCTCCTCACCAATTAATATTTGGTGAGGAGAGCTCAAGTATGTAATTTCATAAACGTTGGCTGTTTAGCCATGGGCTAGAAGGTGTGGGGGACAGTTCACATGGAGCCTAACCTTACACAAGAAAAATGACAGGACACGATCTGCACACAGGAAATAATTAAGAGAACAACTCAAAACATCTTTCCACACTGACTCTATCACTGTAGTTTATTTAAACCACAATCACTAGTGATAAGATTTCTCACTAGATGTGGAAATGAAGCAAAGTCCCCAAATTTTGACTGGAGTGGAAAATGTCAAGATATAAAGACACACTATTGGGAGGAACCAGCCACCTCAGTCTTACACACAGAATCATCACATAAAGTGCCTAAGATCGTATGGCTCTTCCTATTCTAGCCAAGAGGTAAGGCCCTCCCCTTTTCTATCTAAAACAGGGGTTGGCAAACTAAGGGCTACAGGCCAAGTCAGGCCTGTTACCTGTTTTGATATGGCCTATGAACTAAAAATGGTTTTCACTTTGTTAAATAGTTGAAAAAAATCAAAAGAGTATTTTGAGACACTTGGAAATTATATGAAATTTAAATGTCAGTGTCCATAAATACAGTCTTTTTGGAACCCATGCATGCTCATTCATTTTCCATGTTATCTATGGTTGCTTTCACACTAAAGTACCAAAGTTGAATAGTTGCAACAGAGACCATATGGCCTACAAAGCCTAGTATTTACTGTCAGGCCTTTTACAAGCAAAGTTTGCCAACCCTGGAACTAAAATAATTGGTTACAGGGGGAGGGTTCTGTTTCATAAAACTTAAAAAAAAGAACAAGAGTTGAAATCAAATATATTCTAAGCCCCAATTTTAACTCTAGTAGGTTGTTTTTAAAGGTTGCCTCCATCTCTTTGTTATAAATAACAGTAACTGCATAAAAAGTATAAAACATTAATAGTTTTTTCCTTTAGCCAAGATCTGCCTATTATAAGAACAAATGCTCAGAATCAAAAAGCCTTAGTTAAGTCTTCAGTCCTATATCTTAACTATTTCTTATGATCTTGAACAAGCCATTTGCCATCATCACGGTACCAGAGAGAGACACTGCATATAAGTACTTTGTAAATTACAAAGGACTGGAAAGAAGTATGCTGTTAGCATAAGGGAATAATCCAAATTTTTATATTCCCTAAGCAAACCCATATCTCAAAGATCCTGACAATCATTATCACAAATAGGTGGCTCAGTAGAGACTCTTTAAAAGAACATGGGAAGTGATTACATATTGAGAACCTTACAACAATAACCAAATTCAAATATGTCTGGAGTTATCTATAATAGTTATAAACTATTGGTCTGTAGCTTATTATCTAAGTTCTTTAAGACTGTAAATCCACTACAAGTTATGTCACTGATCTTAATTTACCTCACCATAATTTAAATAAATATCTCCTCTACAAATAGTGTTACTTATTCTGTCAAATGTCTTTCAAATTCTAAGACCCAACCAAGTCTAAAATGCCAAAACTCCATGTTTTACTCTAATGTGTTTCCTTTCAGACTGACTGGGGGATCCGCTCCCACCCTCACCCCTACTTGCCCCATACCACTTCAAAAGCCATTAGGGGCTCCACAGATTGAGGAAATCTTAATTACTCTGGCTGTTTTCAATGCAGAAACAGGTTGAAAAAAAATTAAGACCCTTTCTGTTGCTACTGCCTTGATTCTTTGCCTGCTTATGAGGCTCAACCCTGTCTTAACCTTGACCTTTCATCTTAACTTTAACCCAGTGAGACTTTTTTCTACAGTGTGTGCAATTCACTCTTGGTCTTGCCCCTGCTACCCAGCTTCCCTGCTACCACTTAATCACAAAGTAAATGGAAAGCTCCCTTCACTCCCCCTGCCCCCTGAAACATTTCTGTAACAGAAATAGACCAGAACACAAAATCACAAATAATTATTTAGTAGCAAACAAGATGGTGCCAGTCTCCCTGAACCCCTAACAGTACAATACCAGAGTGAGCACACTACTGAAAGGAAAAGAGTGTACTGCGCATATGTTGGAATCAAATAGATCTAAGTCCCAATCCACCAGGTCTAGTTTCTGACCTTACACTCCTTACCTCTCCT